AACGACAATTTGGATACAGACTCGGATCGTCACTCTACCGATCTGCATATTGTATGAGAGCGAGCCTGTGTTGGTAAACAAATGCGAAACAACACGACCGTTATTATTGTAATTTTAAATTTAAAAATAAGTAAAATAGGAAACCAATGTGAAAGGTAACGCCATCTTTCTATAAATTTGACGTTGCAGATCTTTTTGCAGCAAAAAACTGAACAATTCGGCGTTTCTGTAGGACGACGATTCAGCCGCGCAACTAGATTTAGTCTAGTGAGCCGTGCCTGCAGCAACTACCTCCTCTATTACCTCCATACTCTGCAAGATTATGGAGCGTATATTGAACGCTCACCTCATGGCATACCTAGAGCAAAATGATCCTGAAAACCTCAGTGATCGTTAGTACGGGTTTCGCCAAAATCAATCAACTGGGGACCTTCTAGCATATGCCACTCACATATGGGGCGAAGCCCTCGAGAACAAAGGTGAAGCACTTGCTGTTTCCCTCGATGTTTCGAAGGCCTTTGACATGGTTTGGCACGCTAGTCTATTGGGTAAGCTTTCAGCGTACGGCTTATCCCCTGGCCTGATTGTCTGGGTGAAGGACTTTCTGAGTGAACAATTTCTCCGGGTCATCGTGGATGGTTGCTCATCCGATACTGTGGCGACTAACGCCGGTGTTACTCATGGGTCCGTTCTCTCCACAACTCTCTTCCTGCTGCATATAAATGATCTGCTCATTCCCGGTATCTATGGGTATGCAGACGACAGCACAGTTGTGGAAAGATACCAATCAAGCGCCCGGGCCAGTCGGGATCAAATCCAGTCAGAAAGAGAGGCTATGGTTGAGCGTGTGAGTCTCACACTATAGGCAGTTTCCGAATGGGGCGATGCCAACCTCGTGAGATTTAACGCCTCCAAAACACAAGCGTGTCTTTTTATCGCTAAAAGGAGCCCGTTCACCTTGGCTCCTACTTTCCGCAATGTATCCTTGGAGTACACTGACCGCCTTCAGTTGTTTAGGGATTGAATTTTCTCCGAACCTAAACTATGGGCGGTTCATTGAGTCCGGAGCCAAAGCAGCCGCAAAGAAACTTGGTGTCCTTGCAAGGGTACGGCGGTACTTCACGCCGGGGCAGCTTCTTACCTTATATAAAGCGCAAGTACGGTCGTGCATGGAGTACTGCTGTCTATATATGCTGGCGCTGCAAAATGCCACCTGGCAGCATTGGAATCAGTGGAGAGACGTTGCTCAGAGCATCATTGGTGACCTTTATTTGGTTGAAACCAATCTTGTCAGCCTCTAGCTGTTATAATATGGCTTTCAAAATTTGTTTTGAGTGATAAATTCAAGTTACGTGAATTTGACCAAGAGTTCTTAGTCAAAAGTAAAAAATGTCAGAAATACTTTAGACATAAAATGACATACCACTTATACAAAATATACATTATTTTATAAAACTATCTATATAAATTACTTGTATCGTAATATAAATTATGAAAGTAAACCTATCCACGGAAACTTTGTAGCAAAGATTTGGCTGATACACTGTGTTATTAATAGTTGGCAAAATAGAAACAAAGACATTATTGACTTTTGACGTAACATAACACTATTGATATTTCTACAGCTTGGATGATTAGTTTATTTCGTTTGCTCACTAAATCCATTGATGACCATCCTAAGAATTTTAAAAAGCAGGTTGCAAAGATGAACCAAGCGAAAAAGTGTGTTAGACATTTCTGTGACAAAGAATATGTGATAATATAATAATGTCTTGTACACTAAATTTCTGTCACGGCGGCAAGTCTCAACGGAGACTAGCCATCCGCACAGCACGGCTAGTATGGGCTGTGGGCAAAAATTTATCCCCCGATTATATCCTCTGACAAGAGATAAAATTATCTTGTCCTCACGCCAAAGCTCGGCAACGGGGAGAAGTAAATCCCCGTTTGACATAACTAGTAGACATATATCCCCTGTCCGTACCAGGAGCCAAATAAAAGATAAAAAATTATGTTTTTTGACATTTGAAGGTGACAATTTTATACTAGTTCATTGGACTTGGGCTTAAGTTTGTATCCATACAAAAAATCTATCTAAGTCTATTTCCCATTTCATCTACTGTGTATACAATATCCACCAGTGTGCCCATGCTCAAAGGGTGGATAAAAATAATAATAAGCTTAATAATAATATTAAATAATTAATATAAAGCTTGTTATTATATTATTATTATAATCTGAGACGACTGGAGAAAGATCAGCCGCAAGACCAACGGATTTACTTGATTTCCAAAGCACGGGGTTAAAACACCGTCAACTGCCTGACTCCGGATTCTTACAGTAAATTTTTTGACAGAAAAACTCAATAACTGCTTTTGGCCCAACCCGGGCTCGAACCCGGGACCTCATGATCAGATAGAGATAGCGTTTACGACCGGACCCACGTGGCAGTCAAAGTTCCGTGATAATAAAGGAATGCAAGTCGAACAAATTATAATGTAGTATTTCGAAAGTAGGTGAAGAGATAGTAACAAAATAATTTAATATATTAAGAAAAACCCTGCATCATCATCATCATCATCATTACAGCCCTTCACAAGTCCACTGCTGAACATAGGCCTCCCCAAGGAATGCCACAGAGTACGGTTCCGAGCCACCTGCATCCATTGACTTCCTGCATGTCTTATGAGGTCGTCACTCCATCTAGTGGGGGGACGCCCTACACTTCGCCTGCCGGTACGAGGCTGCCACTTGAGAAACTTTCTTCCGCATCGAATGTCGGTTTTTCGAGCTATATGGCCGGCTCATTGCCACTTATGCATACTAATTCTTTGGGCTATGTCGGTTACTCTGGTTCTACTGCAGATATGCTCGTTTTTAAGTCTATCACGCAGAAAAACGCCGAACATAGCCCTCTTCATAGCTCGCTGAGCGACTTTGAGCTTCTCTGACCCGCAGTAAAGGACCACGTCTCAGTTCCATAGGTCATCACTGGCAACACGCACTGGTTGAACAATCTAGTTATGAGGTTTTGAGGTATGTCTAACGAGATGTGTCGTAATCTCCCGGACACTGCCCAGCCGAGTTGAATCCGTCGAAGAAAATCCCTGCATATGTAAATCCCTAAATATAGTTGGATATAAGTAATTTTGGTTGAAATATCAATTAAAGGTGAGTTGACCATAGCCTGCAGTCAAAACTCGTTTTAATTTATTGATATTTTTTGAACAAAGTTGTTTTGAGCAGGAAAGAGGTCCGAACTTAGAGTATCTATGTCATTTTTTATAAACATAGCTTACTTATTTATATACTAAGGGTCCATCCTCTAACATACTAATAAGCTAATAACGAATAGTTAACAAGCGGTAGCCTTCAAAATACTTATTAATATGCAGTTAGTGGCGTAGTCACCTCGTTCCACATAATTGTCTATTTGTCAGTCGTATGCATCGAAATTGGATTAGAGATATTAATTTACATTTATTTTGTTTTAATTCACTTTATTGACATTGATTCACAAATGTAGAAGTAGCCACGAATTATAATCTTGGGACTAATTAATTTTAAGTATGTTTCAAGTTTTTGGAACTAAAATGTTAAGTGGACATATAATTTAGTAGTAAATGAAATACAGCGTATTCCTCTTTGTGGTCATACACAAATATTCTACTGTAACTTAAAAACATGTAATAATGTTAATATAAGAAGTAAATAATAAAGTTGTAAGGCTTCACACACGTCATATTTCTTAGAAGGTTTTAGATTTTGTAGGATATATTACTGGTATAGTTGTAGTACGAATGGGTCGGTTTGACCGGGGAAGGACCACGCTATCACAGTACCAGCGTAAATTAGCAGCATAACGCTACTGTGTTTCGTATGGTGAATGTAGAGAACCGGAGACCCTTTTTACTGGAAACGAGGCATTCCATCTTAGTCCTCACGGGTGACAACGCATCTGCATTTTGATTCGTAATCGAGGATAGATGTATATGTCTATGGGTCACAGCAATCACTTACCATCAGGTGGACTGTGTGCTCGTCTGTTACCTTTATCCTATTAAAAAAAATAGAGATTTTCACACTGCTCCAAAGCGTATTGGTGGATTTAACTTCCTCAAAATATTTTTAATTTTATAAGCATACATGTATCCCCATGATGCTGTCCTTCACACCTAGCACGTGATAAATAACGTGGGCATTAATACAATATACGAGTATAGTTCTAACTAAAATCCTAATGTATATAACACTTTAAAATATGACAATTAGTAGAAAACTCAAAAAATATAACTTTTGCACTTTTCAATTTAATGTTAAGCTTTTTCAATTTTTATAATCATTGATTGAAATTGTACTCACTGACTATATGAATCATAAAGGAAGCAAAGACGACCACCCAGCCCCAACCACCGTCTGGGGGTGGCGGTAGGCTCTCTGAACCCTCCCTCGAAGATTCCGGCGCTTGCACGTTGTTTCCATTCTTCGAGCTCTTCACCACACCGTGAGACATTGTTGATTCTTCTTGAAGAAAAATAACCTTACAGCTACTCTCTGATAAATTTTGTCTGAATAAGGCAGTAAGACAGTTGATATGATTTATTTTAAACGTTTATCTTCATATAATGAACATTTTTGTATTGTTCTGCGTATACTTTTCTGTATATAGAAATATTGTCGATAAGATATGAATGTTACAATTTACTTGCTACTGATACTAGATACTTTAAATATTGTTTACAAAATCTGTACTGATATAGAGGCACTTGGTTTTTAAAGTCTGTACGGATTTTTCTTCGTTATGGGAAGATCCTAAATAGGGAAGCTGGGGTACTTATAAAAGGGAACGTTTTATAAGATAAAGCGAATGCAGCTGTTTCTTTAAATTCTCATGTGTTGTCGTAGACCATTCTGTTGCAATTATCATCTAAGTATTACATTCGTATTCATTTTTGTTTTAGTCAGCTTCTTGTAAATGCTCATCTCCTGGATACAATCAGTCACGATACCTGCAAGAGAAAAATTAACATTTGTAATATTTCCTTACCTACACTTACGATGTAGCATGAAAACTTAACATGAAAATCACGTGTTTTTATATTTTTTTTATAGGATAGGGTAACAAACGAGCAAACAGTCCACATGATGGTAAGTGGTTGCTCTGACCCACATTTACTCGTATTTTTTAATACAATAAGGGTAACAAACGAGCACAAAGTCCACCTGATGGTGAGTGAATTCAGTGGCCCATAGACATCTACATTTATCCTCAATTAAAAATCATAAAGCAGATGCGTTGTCAGCCCTGAGATCTGTTTTCTTGGAATGCCTCATTCCCAGTAAAGAGGGTTTCCGGTTCTCCGCACTTACTCTACATATATTAAATAGGTATTTATATTGTTAAAACAAAAATATTCATAAAAGTAAATGTAAAAGTAACTGTCATTATTAATTGAATAATGATTGTTTTTTTTTTTATAAAGGATAGGGTGACAAACGAGCCCACAGTCCACCTGATGGTAAGTGGTAGCTGTGACCCATAGACATCTACATCTATCCTCTATAAAGAATCAAAATGCAGATGCGTTGTCACCCGTGAGGGCTAAGATGGAATGCCTCTTGTCCAGTAAAAGGGGTCTCCGGTTCTCTACACTCACCATACGAAACACAGCAGCGATAAGCTGCTATTTTACGCTTGTATTCTGTGAGAGCGTGGTCCTTCCCCGGTCGAGCCGACTCATTCGTACTACAATTATACTATTAATATAGCTGCAGCATGGCTCTACCACGTAGAAAATTTATATATAATTTGGAAACTCTCGTAATGAGATGAGAACTTTGCCGGAGTTAGAAGTAACGCGTAAAAATCACGTGGCATCCTTCATAATTTTTCTATCTGTGGTCTCCTACTTCCTCGATAAAGTGATATCAGATAGCACAAATCTTATTTCAGTATGTTATCCTAATAGTGGAAAATTCAGAAGTTATCTGATCACAAACGTAAAGTTGATCGATCGCTGTTGTAACTTGTCGATAATGTTGATAACTCAGTTTCATAGTTCAAGTGATTTGTTAGATAGTCATAATGATTTTAGTTTTATAAATAATATTTTAAGAGGTTATGTAATCTCTACTCGTATATGTTGTATATTGACAAAGCTCCAAATTGTAATAGGTCAAACACATTTTTTTTATAGGAATAGGGTGACAAACGAGCACACAGTCCACCTGATGGTAAGTGGTTGCTGTGACCCATAGACGTCTACATTTATCCTCGTTTGCGAATCAAAATGCAGATGCGTCGTCACCCGTGAGGACTAAGTTGGAATGCGTCTTTTCCAGTAAAAAGGGTCTCCGGTTCTCAACACTCACCATACGAAATACAGCAGTATTAAACTGCTATTTTACGCTGTTATTCTCTGAGAGCGTGGTCTTTCCCCGGTCGAGCCGACCCATTCTTGCTACAACTATAGTATAGTTAACTATAGAGCCATGCTGCAGCAATATTAGTTGTAACTAATATTGCTGCAGCATGGCTCTACCACGTATAAAATATTGCTGCATTTGTACAAAAATACTTACTTAGACAGATTTAAAAGAACTTAGACAATTTTCGAGTCCCTACATACAATCAGAATGTCACATAGTATGCGATTACAGAATATATGTCAGTGACAGATAATATCTCAAGTCAAATATGCAATAAGGAAATATCAAACAAAATATTAATCACATCAGAGCAAAATATATTATGCGTGTGACAGACAGACTAGTGACAGATACAAGAATGACTAACACAATTTAAATGCTTTAAAAAAGAAAAAGATACATAGTGCTTATAATAAAGATACATAGTGATTACGATATTAAAGTTACAGCATAAATTCGTCCCACTGCTGGGCACAGGCTTCCTCTAATTTCTGAGAGGGTTATATGTCAAAGAAATGTCCGCCGCGCTGCCGCAAGCCGTGTTGGCGGACTTCACATGTCTTCGAAATATTATTTTTTTCTTATTTCTCAGACACGCAGGTTTCCTCCTCATAATGTTTTCTTTCACCGCCGAGCACTTTTTTTATAGGAGAGGGGACAAACGAGCATGCTCACCTGTTGGTAAGTGACTACCGCCGCCCATGAACAACTTCAACACCAGGGGAACCAGGGGAATTGCAGATGCGTTGTCGGCCTTTTGCCGTTGTAAATTTCATCGGTGCCAGTGGGAACGAACCCGGGTTGTTCGCGTACTATAAAATTTACAGCGAGCGCTTAACCCCTGAGCTACCACGGCTCGGCAGTAAAGGAAAACATCGTGTACAAATACTGGGTATGATATGAATCAAACTAATGACGCGTAGTGTATATTTTCTTTGCTAATTATCAAATAATACCGTAACTATGTTGTGACTTAAACATTTTTTTAACCGAAAAAATATACACAACGGTGCCTTTTCAATATTAATGATTTAAGATTGGTACCTATCGTAAATTTTCCTATCAGAGTGAATTAATAAAGGTTATCGATTTGTTATTTTGGTGGTTGTTTGGAACAAAACATGTGTTAATATGCAAAGATAAATTATATTCAAAATATTTTAGGCAATAAACAACTCAAAATACTTACAACTAAAAAAATTATATCGTAAAAATTAATAATGTTTTGCGACATAATTTTAGTATAATATTTTTTTTCTCTTACTGTGTGGTTATCATGCCTTTTCATGTGTGAGGAAATGTCTTGAAACTATACGACAGATGATGGTCTAACCCAGGCGTGAGCAAACTTATCATAAGGGGCCAGGCAAACTTAAGAAATTTCACGGGGCCAGAATTGCGACAAAAACGCATTTTGTTTAGTACTAATCTTGCAATATTAATAACTATTGATGCTTTGTAAATTAACGAACATATTATTAGGAATTATATTAGGAACATACTTTACTTAAAAAAAAAAATTAATTCTTGCTTGAAGGCCCTGTCATTGTAAGCATGTGTGACATATGAAGTTTTTATGAACGTTTCTTTGCATGCACTATACGGTTACTTTAGCAGTTTTATCTTCGTATCTCTTTTACACATATTTGTGACGATGAAGCTGTTAGAATATATTTGTGTACTTCTACTTAATGTTCGCAACGTTGGCGGACCGGATTCATGCCCCGAGCAGAACGGAGTTGGTTTGCAAACCAAACCTTGCTTTGCTTTGTCACCTCTGAGAATTCAGATGGTTCACAGCCTGTAATTATGTTGGATCTCTGTACCTTTCGGACCAGAAATAGGTACAGCTAGTGAAAGGTTGTGGCGGCGCTGTCGACGCACCACAAGCGAAACACATCGAAGCCTAAATCGCGCTAACAAAGTTCCGAAATTAAAGCAATATATATAGAATAGCTCTGAGATATCACTCGGAGCGTTGGCCGCTCCCCGGGCAGAACACCTTGCCCGGCGGGAGATCTCCCCTTTTCCTTCCACCCGCCACAAGGTCCTACTAGCTAGTAAGCTGTACTAGTTCTCAGTGCTACATCACTTAACTAATGATGTAGTACTAAGATACGCCTGCTAGATGTCTGTAGGTGTGTCCAGCAATTGCTAGTTAAATAACTGATGTTGACTATGATAGAAAAATATCTATTTATAATAAATATATACACATATAAATAATATACCTATTATATATAAATAAAAATACATAATAAGTCTTTACCTATGAAATTACCGTTTTTTATGAAATAAGTTGTTGTTTGTTGTTGTTAATTGTTTTTCTATATTTTTTATTTCTATTAATCAAAGTAATCACCCACGCAATCGATGCATCATTGCCAACATAGTGGCAGTTTATTGATACTCTTCTTGAAGAAATCACCTGGACGGCAAGTAACGAATTCTTCAAAGGCATTTTGTACTGACTCTCGGGTATTGAATTTTTCCCGCCAAATAGTTATCCAAATTCTGGAAATAGTTGAAGTCTGTGGGCACAAGGTCTGGTGAGTACGGCGGATAATGTAGAGCTTCCAACACCAGCTCTTGTAACTTGGAGACCATCTGTTGTGCAGTACGAGGTCGCATGTTGGCGTGCAGGAGCAGCGGAGACGAGCGATTGACCAAAGCTGTTTGGAGACGTGCGAGCTTCTCTATCATTGTGTTCAGTTCTTCACAGTACACATCTGTAGTAATGCTCATCCCATTTGGTAAGAAGCTGTAATGAATTACACCAGCACTAGACCAGCAAACAGCGACCATCACTTTTCTAGGGGTAAGTTTTTGTTTACTTCGCACCGGCCTGGCATTTCAAATCAAAATAACAAAAATTACTTTGATTAGAATTTGTTTTTTATAGGATAAGGATGACAAACGAACACACAGTCCACCTGATGGTAAGTGGTTGCTGTGGCCCATAGACATCTACATCTATCCTCTATGGCCAGTAGATACGGCAGAACGGCAATTTCATAGGTAAAGACCTATTATAATTGAATTCGTATTTCAGACATGTGGATCGTAAAGTATATTTGACATATTATGCGATAAATAATTATGACACAGGCATGATTTTTTTAAATAAAGATTTTTAAACAAATCTGTCTTTATTTCGTTCCTTAATTATCAGCAAATCTGTTCATCTGAGATTCAAAAGCGGGAATAATCAGTCGATAGGACAAAATATGTACTAATTGAATTGGTCTAGATCTAGATGAAAAAGTCGTTATCAATAATCTTAATATTGCCCTTGTCCCTTTTGATTAGTAGTAGCACCGGGTGTTCCTCCGGGCTCAATTTTTGGCCCATTTCTGTTCTTAAAGTATATTAATATTTAACCTAACCTCCCTTGTAAGGGACAATCGTGCTACAGCATTGTTTCCGAATGTACACCTTAAGTTTTAAACTCAAATAGGTACCGTTAAATTATAACGATGTGAATAATATGATATGATAATGATACAGTGGTTTAACGCCAACAATTTGCTTATAAATACAATTTATTTTTAAATATTTGATTATTAATTCAATCAACTGAATATCAATATATATAAGTATATTTGCATTTCTGTGGTGCCTAACTTCATGTACATTTACAGAGACGCTTACTTGACCTAAACATCGGTTGTCAGTTCTTTGAGCCATTTAATTTAGTAGACGATTTTATTTTGTTTCTTGTTTAGTAGTGGGATTCGAGAAGGAATGTAATGATGATGATAATATATATTTTTGTATATTTGTATATATATCATTTTAAAAAACATTACCTCCACACTAGAATTTTCTCCTGTATCGCGGGGGCAGTTTACATACATAGATTTCACAAGGACAAACATCCAGACCCAGAACAATTATTTGTAGGCCATTCAAATACTTGTTCCGTGCGGGATTCGAACCCGCGGCCCTTAGCGCTGCAACTTATTGCTAAACCACTGCGCCACGGAGCCGATAGTACATGGATAATACGAGTAAACATGGTTAAGGTTAAGATTAGAAAAAAATAACTATACATTTGGCAAGCGAGTGACATAATGTTTTCTACTAAAATATGATAATCCATATTGCGTGTTATTATCGTCTTAGCCGAGTCAGTAGGTGGGTCCAGTAGGTTAACATAAGGTTAATAGGTAGGCCGGAATAAGCATGTTTTCAAATAATGTTATAATCACGAGAAATCGGAATACGAAATCGCAGTTTAGAGTTTCAGCGTTACGAATTTGTAGTAAGTATAAATTATTTTCTTTTCAACCGACTTCAAAAAGGAAGAGGTTTGCAATTCGTAGGAATCTTTTTTTAAATATTATATATTCACCGATTTCTCGAATACGCCTAAACCGATTTGGAATATTCCTTTTTGTTTCAAAGGGTATATTTCCCAGGTGGGCCCATTTAAATTTTATTGAAATCGGTCGAGCGGTATTAAAAAAAATCAACAAAGTTTTTAACGTTACCATTTTGTTAAATATACATAAAAAGTTTCTTGTTATTAATTATTTCGATATTCGTAAAATTTATTACAATACTGCTCTAATCAAGATATTAGTTAACTGATTACAGCAAACACATTTGTTACAAAAATTGTTGTTCATAAGAACAAAAGTTAATTCAACGATAGGCACGCTATCTTTGTTTATAGTGCAACGATAAGAGGTTAATGGTAACAATCATTGTAGGTATTCCTGCTCCGGCAAAGCTATCTACAATTTACATCATATGACAAAATATGTTCACTTAAACTTTTATATTTTATACGTATAAATATTTTAGTAGAACACTAGTATTGTGTTGAGTTAACAATAGACAATAGTTATCTAAATATAAACGTTTGCTTAAGGTAGGTATATTGTTACAATTTTAGTAGGCGATTACTTAAAATTTCCTGATAATCGGTTAAAACATCGATATATACTACTTGTAACTCAATGGTTAAAATAATTTATTATAAATCGTGGTTATTTCATTCATTTATTGAATCAATGAATTGCATCGCAGAATAGACTAAATAAATAGATTGTCATTGTCCAATATATTGAACAGCTATTAATGAAAGCTAGCATTTTTATTAGTACACAATCATTTGCAGATTTACTGGTATAGTTTCAATTGTTCAATGAACATAAATGAGTGTGATGACTCAGCTCAAATATTATTATAGCGATACTGCATTGCAATGTAATGCAAAAGAGGCAAAACAATTCAAACAATGTAATCAAGACCATTTGTTTTTATTCCACATACTTTGTAATTTCTATATTCATACATATACATATCAAAAAAAATTATACGAATTTTATTCTACACACTAGTGGAAATTAAGAAAAAAAAAACAAGTTTTAAAATCTTAAAAGCGTAATTAAATAATAAAGAAAAAATAAATGAATTATATCGAAACCGCCGTCCAAGATCTGGCGCCAAAAATAAGGTTTGTTGTTGCATACTTGCATACATTTTAATGTTTACACATTTTATACACAAAAAATTAAGTATTCAATTTTAAATATGTTTTTACGTACGTGTAAAATTTCACAGCACTTCTTTGTCTTAATAGGTAATTGCAGTTTGTTTAGGAATTGAAAATGACACGGAGAATTGATCACTTTGCAATTTGCGACAAGTCTTAATTTTGTGCAGCAATATACAGTAACGTAGTGCGGAATATCACAAACACCGCTGCGGGCGTATGTTCGCGCGCGCTGTTGCCCTGTCACTGACAACGAAAATAGAGGATAAAATATAGTGTCGTGTGGATGAAAAATAAGATTCCGGACAATTTCAGCTTCTGCAGATATGTATACATAAAGGCTATTGTGTATTTTGACAAAAGTAAAATAGTATATCATCGCCGTTAAACTGCAAATAGTGCATCAGTGGGCGTAGCCCTCTACTAAGTTAGAAAAGAAGGTTGTGTCGGGAGGTTTGTGAGACTTTTTGGCTTTTTTGAGATCCTACCACTACCTTATATATCGTATAATGAATTTTTTTACGTTATCACCAATCACCATTTATAAAAATTTACAGAGATACTGGGGAGTACGCTTATCATTATTAGTGTGTTGAGCTGTAGTGGATATTGGCTATGTGCTCACTAACGCGCCTGTCCAACCAGTATTGCACTGTCCAAGACTATTGGTAAATCTCAGTAATGCAAGCCACCTGACGTGTTCTTGAAATGGCCTATTTAGTTTAGTAGAATTAAAATTAAACTTTAAAGAGAGAACTAAAAAGAATAAAATTATTTCCACACAACAGCTTTTGAAAGCGGTGTGTTTTTTTAGGACCCTTTTGAGTGCACTATGTAATATCACAAGCTCAAGGCACAACTACATTTTCATCAAATAATCGTAGTTACCGTATTGAGGGGTGGAATTTTTTTGATTGATTTTGATTCCCAATGATTTAGAACCACCCCTAAAACTTAGCCTATTTATAAAAAAAAAAAAACATTAACTCGGTTCACAATTGACAAAGATATCCCGGCACAAGGAAAAGTGTCGGATTGAGAACCTCCCCATTTTTGAAGTCGGCTAAAAAGGTTTAATGATTTTTTTTATAGGATAAGTGTGACAAACGAGCACACATTCCACCTGATGGTAAGTGGTTGCTGCGGCCCATAGACATCTACATCTATCCTCGTTTGCGAATCAAAATGCAGATGCGTTGCCACCCGTGAGGACTAAGATGAAATGCCTCATTTCCAGTAAAAAGGGCCTCCGGCTACCTGCACTCACCAAGCGAAACGCAGAGGTAAACCTCTACTTCACGCTGGTATTCTGTGAGGTCGTGGTACCACCCCGGTTCGAACCGGCACATCCGTGCGACAGCAAAAGCTGCCGTGTGGCTCTACCACTGTTAATTTTATGATATCGTTAATGTAAATACTGAATACAACGACGTACACGTGTCGTGTACACGCGGTTTAACAAAATTCATCACCCCATTATGACCCCATTACATCCCTTGGGTGTCGGAAGAGATTGAAAAATCTTATGACTTCCGATAGATGGTGATACAACCATCTCGTTTACGTCAGATGTAAAATATCCAGACCAACGACGGACAGCAGCGACAAAGGTGCGAGACCTCTGGAGTCATCTACCGCGAGTCTTCCCGAAAACACCTATGAGATTTGAAGAGATAATGGTTACTCTTTTGTCACCGGTGTTCAATAGCGTAAAATACGAGTTACTAATTTTTTTTAAATTTTTATAACATTTAGTATAGCTGAAAAAAATATACAAAAAAAAAATAAGTAGTAGTTATTTCTCAGTCGCACGTATGTAGATTTGGATACTTATTTACCTCCACTTAAGTCTAGTCTAGACGGAGGTGGCTGATGCGACGCGGCGTGGAGGCATTGTATACTTTGTTTCAGTCAGCTCTTTACGTTAAAGTAGTTGGTCGTGAATTTTCAAATGAAGAAGGCTTTCGTTTTAAAAGGTCTATAAAAAGGTATTTCTATTACCATATTTGTTTTTTTTTCTATAATTCATGTACTTCATTTTATTAGAATATAAATAATTATCAAAATGTAAAAGTAGACAAGTTGAAGTGACAAATGACTATGACCTAGAAAAAAATCTCTCTTTGAAGTCGGTTGATGAATCCTGACACACTAAAATCGAATATAATGCTTCGTTCACTAAAATCGAATAAAAAAAGGTCACCTCTGAGGTCTTATATGAAAATCCTCACATCCTGTAATTGACTGGCTCTCTACATCCTTTAGATTGGAACACAGCAGTCCACGCACTGCTGTTTGGGGGCAGAAGTAGGTAAGAGGCTATTCAGACAAATTCCTACGCAGAAAATGGGTCTCACTACCTATTAAACGTTATTGTTGTGTTTCATTTACGAAAACATAATAAGAATCTCTTCCAGACCGAATTTCGGTTTCGGCGGCAAACCTCAACGGAGACTAGCCATTGGCGGAGAACAGGATTGTAGTGCCCGAGCCCGAATGGACATACTCCATGAACAGTGCGCTCTCTATTCCCTCACTCTATGGTACGGTAAACCGACACGGCCGGAGGTAGATAAGGTGCAAGACCAGCGGCTTAACATGCTTTCCGAGGCATTGAGACGAGGCACCGCCAACTTCCTGACTCCGGGCTGCTACTGAAAATTTCTTGACGGAAAAACTCAAAACTGATTTTTTAAATGGGCTGACCTGGGTTTCGAACCCAGGACCTCATGATCAGTAGCCGCGTTTACAACCACTAGACCAATGAGACAGTCACGAAATTAAAACGTAAGAATAGCTTTGCATTGACTCTCCACATAGAATCTATGAATATAAATGGTGTATTTAATTAAGAAAATTAAATTAAGTTTTCCTTGTTCACAACATTTGTGATTCTGCGGTCAGGAGCACAAATTTATAAGGGTGAGGGTGTGAAGACAAATTTACTCTCGAGCACGCTACCTAAAGCTGGCCCTGCGAAAAACGCAATTACTCGTAAAGATCTATACGGCTCGTCTTCAACATCTAGTTCAGGTTCAGCGATGTGACAGCGGTTATTGCTAAGGAAATTACATAGGGCAACTACAGGCTTATGGAAGTTAGATTTTATCAGCGGCCTTATGGGAGTAAATCCTTATAACAGCCAGTTAAAGTATTGGTCTCAATGAGTTAAACAGTGGAGTGATATGCATTCAAATAATTAATAAAGATATCCTCGAATTATTAGTCATCTTATTGGTCTACCACATAGTTGATAACAATATACGTCATCAATCCCGCCTTCAAATTGTTCAAAATACAGATTTTAAAAACCAGCACTGCCTTGTTTTAGGTGCAAGAATCACACGCTTACATAAAAATATATATATATGTTAGAATTACCATTACTATGTTCATCGACAATAAATCAAAGTTCTTTAACGACTAAATCAAAGAGGACAGCAATATTTTAGCATTTATTTCGAATCTTACCTTCACCAATAATTATTAATCGTCTTGCAAGTTCCTGATTTCGGGAATCACTGATATCTTTTTTTAATTTTTTTTATAGAAGAAGGAGTAACGATCATGTGGCTTACATAGTGATGAGTGAACGCTGTCGCATATAAATTCAATAAACTAAGAATAGTAAACCAAAGGAATCGTAGGAATAAGTTGCCAAAATTTAAAGTAGAGAGGTTTTTTTTCATGAAGGTCCTTAAGTCATAGCGACAAAGGAAAATAACCAGTGACAGCAATATGGGCAGATTACGCGAAACAAGAGAGCGCTTGATGTGATGGGATGTGTGATTTTATGTAATCAAGTCAATTAACAAAATTAGTGACACGAAAAGTTGTAGCGATTGTGTTAACATTTTATGTAGTCGATAGCATACAGAGGTTCTCAACACACTCTGTCTCTACCATCTTGATAAATCGTAGATACTTTGAAATAAATAAGCTCGCCAAAGATCGTATACATCTGGGGCTACAATTCCAAGTGCGGTGATTGTAGAAAATTAGTTTAAAATATTTTTTTATTTATAACAAGGCACAGGAACAATTATCCGTCAAGTTCTTACAAAGGTACTACTTGTTTCACAATATATTGAAAAATCTTCCTGTCGACACATACAGGACAACATATTAAAAAAAGCCGGCCAACTGCTAGTCGGACTTACGCATGAAGGGTTTCGTACCATCGTAAAACACGTTTCTAGTAAGGGAGCCCCCTTTAATTTTTAATTAATATTAATTTTTATTATTTGTTGTTATAAATGCAACAAAAATACACATTCTGTGTAAAGATCAACTGTCTACCTATTACGGATCACGAGATACAGCCCGCTGACAGATACGAGTAGACGGACGGACGGAGAACAGAGGTTTTTTAATAAGGTCCCATTGGTTACCCTTTGGGTACGGAACCCTAAAAAGGAAAACTTAGTGTATACATTTGGAAATTATATTGGTGGATTTCTCCTGGCCATTTTCAACAGTGGTAAAAAATTCAAACAATTATAATCTCTTTACTGCAAACGATATAAATGATCTCATCTGCTATGCTAGGATCCATGTAAGAGACTAGAGAACAATTGTATCGAAACAAAGTCTCAAGACGTACAATTTGTGTTCTTGTATGAGTAAATATTGGTCTTACTTTGTATTTAAGCCACGGCTTAGCAATATTACTAAGCCTCACGTTCGACAATATATATACCTTTTATTTTATAAAGATTCAACAAAGCTATAGATATGAAAATATAATTTCATTTTGTGTGTTTTAATTAAAAGCTATGTTACTATTTTTTTTTACCTCCACGATAGTGTTTACAGCGTCATACGTGTCATACGGCCTAGCGTTTATTTAAACTCAAGCAGTTGCACTATTACGAGTGTTATTGACCGCTCGTGAACTATTAACGTAAAGTGGGTTACTTGGGTACTATTTATCGTTAACCCAAATACCATTTAGTGTGCATGTATTTATTTTAAAGTATAAGTTAATAATTATGCAAAGTTGAAAAGGGGCTTAAGTTTGCAATTGAAAAGGTTTTAATCCATTATGTTGCGTGTGAATGAGACCTGTGGGAGTAGTCCTTTTATAAAGTATAGGTTAACATAAAAAAAGAATTCTAATACAGACATACAGTAATCAAGCAAAAGCTTAAAATTATCTTTCATTTCATACAATTACTCGAATTTTTCAAGGAGACATAGTGATTTCAATATTGGTATTGTGCATAAAAATATGTCTTCATATAATTTAAAGGCAACAGGTTTGTGTTATTAACAGATAGTTTTAAACAAAATTTTATATTGTAAATGCCATAATATAGTAGCAATAATGAGGTCAACGGTATCGTTTACTCCCACTCATCTATTTTAATATATTCTTTG